ATCATATACTTAGCCTCCAACTCACACACTGGCGAGTAAAATCTGAGAATTGATTAGCCATCGGCTAATATTACACATCATTTAGTCGCCCAGAGTGAAGATTTAGTCGCATGTGCGAGTGATTTACTCGCAGTGTAGAGGCTTGACAGTCTATGAGCACGAAGCTCTTACAGTGTGCACACATCGTAAGCGCTTCGTGTTAAAAAGTGCAAAGCACAAAGGGAAGAGAAATTGATGCGTAGTGTATTATATCTGTGCAACAGTTATTGAGCCTTTCTTTTAACAGTTTTAAATTTCAGTTACTGTGCACGTTAAAAACAATTTATAGTCTTTTCTACGCCCGTGTTTTGTTCTCACAGACACCCGGTAGCAAGTAACAAAACATTAAACTCTGGCAAGAAGATAAAGTCCTTTTTGCAAAATCATAGACATGTATTTACAAATCCAGTATAATGGGAACACACCCATGAGAAATTGATGCGTAGTGTATTATATCTGTGCAACAGTTATTGAGCCTTTCTTTTAACAGTTTTAAATTTCAGTTACTGTGCACGTTAAAAACAATTTATAGTCTTTTCTACGCCCCGTGTTTTGTTCTCACAGACACCCGGTAGCAAGTAACAAAACATTAAACTCTGGCAAGAAGATAAAGTCCTTTTTGCAAAATCATAGACATGTATTTACAAATCCAGTATAATGGGAACACAGAATGATGTTGGAGAGAGCTTTACGAGCTGACCGCTGTAACCGAACGCGACCAGGGTTTAAAGCTGAAGGAATGACAGACAGCCACAGCGGAGAAAAGAGTTTGTGTGAACTTTAATGTAAGCACTTAAATATTCATATGTAGCTCACATTAAGCTATCGTATGGCTTCAGAAGTAACACAGAATAATTTGCACAATCGAGAGGAAAAAAAAAAAATCTCGGATTTGGATCGGCTCTCTCTGATCGATACCCGATCCGAGAAAAATGCCACTATCGGAGCCGATATGAATATCGGATCGGCGCATCCCTAGAAAAATCCAGGTTTGCTGAGTTGGGCTGCGCAATTTGGCTAAATCATATATTAATACGGCTATAAAACAACAATAATAATTACAAAAATAATAAAATGTACAAAATAAAAATAAAATAAGAACTATTACTTCTGCAGTGCTTCACAGTAAAATAGAAAAGTGTTTAAGAAAAACAATAAAATCAACAAAAATATTAATAAATAATAACAATAATTTACTGTAAACAAAACCAACAAAATTGTAATACTATTATTAATTTTAATTTAAGTTGTTTTTAAGTTGTCTTAATTTAAGTTGTTTGTAGGTCTGCACAATTTGGATATACATTTTGTGATAATGTCTATCAATATGGCTTCAAAATAATAATAATAATAATTATTATTATTATTAATGCATTATTTAATCACATAAAATTACTAAATAAAAAATGAAGAACTATTACTACTGTAATATTTCACTCTAAACTAAAAATAAACAGAGAATACAATTATTTTATTATTATTAATAATAAAAAAAAATTATAATAACAATAATAATAATATAAAAATGACCAGCATAATATTTCACTGTAAAATAATATAATAATAATATTTTTATTGTACATAAAACTATAAAATTACAATACTATTATTATTAATTTTTTGTTTTGCTTTATGTTTTGTTTAGTTCCCAAATGCATATTAATGTGATGCAAACCCAGAACAGATTTATTGTGAACTGAGCGCATCACGAGCTGCTCTCATGTAAAGTGAACCTGCATTAATTCAGGATTAACTGAAGAATCCTCCAGCAGATCTCGACAGCTCCACTCCCGATCAACAAATACAGCAGATATATTACTAAACTAAACCACAAAAGCTCTTCTGCTACTCAGAGAAACTCAAAAAACACTGAGCTAGCTGCCAAGACAACGTTTTTCATGTTCATTTAGTTCACCTTAATGTCCTAAAAAATAAATAAAAATAATAATAATAAAAACTATATACAGAAATTAAAAAATAATATAAAATTACTAAAATACAACAAAAGCACTAACAAAAAAAGCACTAAAAATTAAAACAGGAGACAGAAATATAAAAAACTAGTTTGAAATATTAATAAAAACTATGATAATATTTTTATTGATTTATTTTTTATTTTATTTTAAATGTTAAACCA